GGGGTGGACGGGGGCTTGCTGGATGCTGGGGTGGTTGTGAGGGCGTCGGGTGGGGCAGGGAACAAGCGTCGGTTGCGGTGGGATGGGAGGGGACAGACCGGACACGGAGGGAGTGGTGCGAGGCGGAAAGCGTAGGCCGGCGGCAGGCTAAGCGCTGAGGCGGCCGTAGCCGCGGGTGCCGGGTCGGCGCCACGGGAGCTCCCACCTGCGGCAGGAACTTCTTGATGAAGTGACCCTGGGGGTCGTACTTCTTACCAAACGTCACCGGTGAGTACACGCGGTAGTACTGGTTGAAGAAGGTGCTGGCGGACAGCCACTGCCAGTTGGCCGCGTTGATGAAGTGGTCCTGTTGTTTTGGGGGAGGATGGTGAGTGGGTTGGGAGGGAGGGACGGGGCGAGCTGGTGCGTGCGCGTGCGAGAGGGATGGCTTGCAGCCGTGTGCTTGGGGCGCCACCAGAGGCGCAAGTCGCGGCTGAGCAGCAGCACGCATCCTGGGATCAGGCCAGTGCCGGTATCGAGCTCGAGCAGCCGACCTGGCCAGCCAGCAGCCGGCCAGCCAGCCCTGGCCAACCCTGGCCAACCCTGGCCAACCCTGGCCAGTCAACCAGGTTGTCCCGTTGCAAAGCTGACAAAGCAGAATTACATAAAAGCAAACACTGTCAAGTCGGCACAGCGCCGCATGGCCGACAATGCCACACCACATCGGGCTGCTTGGCCCCAGCCCACGCTGCCGCTGCCGGCGCCACGCTGCACAGCAGCACGCCCCTGTGCGCCGCTGCCGGCCACTCACCGCGTCCACCAGCAGCTCCTCGAACACCGCCTGCCCCGCCTCCCATGAGAGGTACAGGTCTCCGCGCGTGAGGAAGCACGCCACGCTGTGGCGCGCCAGGTGGTGCATCCACCCCCACTGCTGCAGCTGCGGGGGTAGGGGTCGGAGTGGCGAGCGGCGCAACATGCATTGGCGGCATAGGTTGCTGGCCTTCAGCTATGCTTGGCGCGCGAGTGCTTTGCCTCACAACGGCTGCCTGAACGAGGACAACTTGCGGATGCTGCATCCAAATACAAGGGTCCTCACACACAAGCACAACAAGGCGTGCTGGAATGCGACGTGCACCGCGGGCAGGCGTGCACTGCAGAGTTCCAGGCCGGCTGTTGGGTTTAATGGCCCCCCCTTGCATCTCAACGAGCGGGGCGCCCCACCTGTGCCATAATTGCGTCAATCCAGGGGTAGCCGGTGCGGCCGTCCCTCCAGGCCTTGAGGAGCTCAGAGTTGGTGTCCCAGTCGATCTGGGCGGGGCGAAGACGCAAGGCGAGGACATGAGGGGGACAAGGGACGAGGGAGGCGTCGGGGGCGGTCCAAGGTACAGGGACCGTGCGGTGTCTGAGAACTCGTGCAGACCGCAGAAAGTGAGGAGGACGTCGACCGGGAGTCGTTCGTGCCGCTGAGAGAGCTAAGGGATTACTGGCGTTCGCCGGGGGCCCCAGATCCGGCCGCTCGCAGCACGATCAGGCGAGACGGGCGATGTACCGCGCTTCTGCAAGCAGTGGCACATGCGCGGGCCCCTCAGCGCCCCTCAGGGCCGCGCTCACCTGCTTGCAGATGGGGTTGCCCTGCATGCGGTTGAAGTTCTGCGTGTGGCTGCCCACCTGCGAAAGTTGCAAAGGAAAGAGCAAGCTAAAACGACTCGTAGATGTTGGTATGAATAGCCCAGCGGCGCGCTCAACAGCACGTTTCCACCAACGTGAAACATCAAACAGGCAACAGGTAAATGCAGGTGAACGGCAGGCGGCAAGACCGTGGCCCTGCGACTGCAGCCTCACCCACCCACCGTGTAGAAGAACTCGCGCCACAGCAGCTGGCCCCGCAGCGACATCGGCGGCTTGGTGTGGGCGCCCTTTGCCGAGCGGTAGACACGCAGCAGGCGCTGGTGGAACAGCCTTTGAGGGTGTTGGGAATGTTGTACGTGAGTGGGTGTGTGGGGAGGTCAAGAAACAAAGTGCACAACGGCTGGAGAGTGGCGAAGGTCAGCCGCTAGACAGCAGCACTAATTGAAGGCGACACCGAAGACAACTTGCGGGCGGCAGCATCAGCAGCATCGCCAGGCAGCAGGCCCTCTCGTCCGCGCTGCTCAACCCCCCTGGACCCTGCGTGCAATCCCTGTGTCACGGACGTGACTCGAACCCTTTCCTCAAGAGACCAGCCGCAAGAGCCCTGCACCCCACCTGGGGCTGATGCAGCCGAACTTGAGGTATGGGCTGAGCACGGTGGTGGCGGGGCGGTCGAACGCGGAGGGGTCGGTGGCGGGCTTCTCAAAGCCGCAGATCCACTTGGGGTCCTTGAATGCCTCCTCCAGCCTGCTGAGCGCCACAGACTCACCGCCCTGCCAGAAAAATGGCGGTAAAGTGAGCGGGGCGCAGCGCGCACGTCAATCACCCAGATTGCATATGCGAAAGGCAAAGGGAGATGGAGCTGATTCGGAAGAGGCGGAGAGGTCTGAGATTGCGGGGGCTGCGTCCGTTGCGGCTAGGGCTGGGGGCCGCGCTTGCACCGCAGCGCTGCACGGCGATGCGGACGCGCATGCAAGCGCCACAAGCGCGCGCCCAGGGCAATGCAAGCATGCCGAACCAAACAATGATTGAGGTTGTGGTGCGCTCTTCACCTTGAAGGGCGACGTCGGCTGCTGCGTGAAGCCAACCTCCGCCAGCGTAGGGACGCCCGTCTCCCCCTCCCCCGCGCCCGGCGCGCCGCCGTCCGGCGGCGGCAGCTGCGCGGGCGGGTCGGGCGCGGGGGGCGGGGGGTCGCCCGCCTTGTCCACGAGCTTGGTGAACGCCTGCATCGTCATCGGCGG